TCTTGCTGAAAAAATGTAGGGGTGCACAGGTTTTTAATGTGTATTTTTAAAACATTTTGCCAACACAATTTGGAATTATCTTTAATTGTCTATACCATCTGAAAAATGTATTCACCGGCATATGTGCCATCTATAATGGCTGTTATCACATCCACATCCACACAAATCTAAATTTAAGGAAAGTCACATTCTTTCACATAATATGCCCTTCTTTAGTTCGAATTAATGTGTCACCTTTATAATCAGTTATTATCCAATTAAGACAGCAACAAGACATACCCAATCAACATTCACTCACACAACTTTCACCCGGTTCAACTTTTCTAAAACTTCGTTATTGATGCTAATTAAAAAGAAAAATATAATTTAAAAAAGTTTGATATATAAAAGTCAACACATTTATTACTTATCAATAAACATTACACTAGCAAACAATAATAGTAGTAACAATGAAGGTATTATGGTGAATTCAACAGAGACGGTTCCTTGCATAGGTCTGTGACACTCAGTGTGCTGATCATATTAAAGCTCCACCCCCCCCCCCCCCTCTGTCTCTCAGGCGCGAATCCAGGGGGTCGAGCGGCCCTTGCCTCCCCCCTCGCAAAAAAGAGAGAAGGAAAAGAAGGAAAAGGGGAAAAGTTGAGAAAGGAAAAGAAAGAAAAAAAGAAAAGGGGAAGAAGGAGACATGGGGTGAAAGGGCCTTGCGTCGAATGCTCGCGCTCGGTTTCTCTGTCTCGCTTCGCTCGCCAGAATTTACGGACTCCAACAACGCGAGGGCCATCGACAAGAGGCTAGCCCCGGAAGCTCAGGGGTTTTAGGCGTTTAATTAAGGTCAGATGAGCATATTTTTTTGTATACCTTATTATTTTGCGACACTGGCAGGTCACTATTTGGCGTGGGGTCCAGGTCCAAAAATCAGGGGTTTTAGGCATTAAATTACCGTCAGATGATCATCTAAGGGCCCGCCGTAGGGCCCTAGATGGAATCCAGGGAGCAAGGGGGAAGCTTAGGGGTTTTAGGCATTTAATCACGGTCAGATGAGCATATTTTGATGCCTCATTATTTTGTTAACACTGGCAGTCAACTATTCTCACTTTCTTGCTCTCATTCTATTTTATTTCTCTTTAATATACTTTTTCAAGAAAAGTAAGGGGGAGCTCGAGGCTCTTGATCCCCGCCGTACCTCGGGCCCTGACATGTAGGAATCTCAAGAATCATATTTTTTGCCTGGCTGTAAATTTAGAAATTTGTCATTTTCCAACAAACACATACAAACGTATAATTTACTAAAAAGTGGGGAAAAATTTCGGAAATTATGTCATTTCAGCATTATTTGTAATCCACCGTTGTGGAATTAGAAATAAACCACGTTTGAATTTGATTTCTCCCAAGCCCCCCCCCCCCCCCTCTATCAGTACGCCAATATCTCCTCTTTTCCTTTGTTTTTTTTCCCTTTCCTTCTCTCTTATTTTTTTTGATTGGGGGCGGGGGGTTAACAGCCTGGGAGGCAAGGCCCTTTCGCCCCCCCCCATCTCCTTCTTCCCCCTTTTCTTTTCTTCTTCCTCTTCTTTCTTTCCCTTTTTCTCCTTTTTCCCTTTCCCTTCTTTTCCTTTCTTCTCTTTTTTGTTTTTGCGGGGGGGGGGGGCAAGGCCCGCTCGGCCCCCCCCCCTGGATCCACGCCTGGCTATGTAACAAGTAAATTTCTAAGGAATTAAGGAGTTTCATGGGTTCCAATTCAATGTAAATTTGCATTAAAATAAGAGCCCCCGTATTAGAAGGCTCACGGGGGCTCTTTTTTTTTTGGAAGAGCCCCCGTGGACAAAAAAATAATTTGAGCCCTGACGTCAAGTTATTAAAAGAAAATTAGAAGTGACGCGTTTACCTGCATCTCTCACAGATTCCCTGCAACTGCTATTGAGGAACATGTTTGTTGGCCAAAAGGTAGATTGTGATGCTGGCATCTATTGGGCTAGCCATAATGCACGCAATACGTCCAAGGGTTCTCCTTGCTCCTCTTCAGCTTGGATTACAAATGCATCATCAATTCTCATCTCGCAATGCTTCTAATGCTCTTATCAGGTGGTTAAGAAATATGAAAGAAGTGCGGCAATTTCTCAAGAGTGCATTCAGTATCTTGCAAATAATATCGACACTCCTTATGGATCGGGTACTTTCCACAGATGGGCACATTGCTACCCAAAGCCAAGGATAAAGTACTGTAAGCCTGTACCGTTTATCTAGATAAACGGTATCCGCTGAGGACTTTGCTACTGTTGGACGTATTAACATTGAATAAGGCATCTACAACTGTACAACCTCTGGTTTACTAGCCGATTATGAATCAGGGACCAGAAGATCCAACATTTGACCTTGATGTGTTGTTGAAGACATCTTTACGACTGCGGTCCCCAAGGCCTTCAAAGGTCCGGAACGATACAGATAATAAAAGCAAGTACCCCGATCAGTCATCTTCTTTGTTTCTCCCCATGATTGACATGAGTCCTAGTGATTCATCCTGCATGTGTCTACTACACTCTGCGTTCTGCTTGTACCCATGCTAAACGGTATACAAACGTTTTGACGTTTGATATGCTGCTATGGTAGAAGGCACTCACAAAAATCAGGAGCCAGCCAAGTGACAGTGACTTGAAGCAGATCGTTCTGCAGGGCATTTGATGACGGGCTCAGGACCCCATGAACTTCTTGAAGTATAGTGTATGCCCTATATGCTGGGTGGAAAGGCGATTTCTAGAGCTGCATGTGCGGGGCCATTTACTCGTTGATGCTGCTCTAAATACCATGCTGATACCAGACTTGTATAATGTACATCTGCAACGAGTACAAACAACCTCCGGAAGCTCCTATAGTGATCACTATAGGGATTTCCAGAGGTTGTTCAGCACCCAGGTACTCCATGTGGAGAAGCTAATTTCGCAGAGCAGCCCACTTAAGTTCTCTCTTGAATAACTACTAATTAACGGACAGCATCTTCCTGATCTTCATCATGATGTAGCAATTGAGGAAGAGCAGATCCTGGAATTAATTGTGATGCAACAGAAGTTTAAACCAACAATTCTTGTCGATGATGACACAAACCTTCTCATCTTGCTGATCTTTTACGCTGATCTGAATGCAAAGGACTTCTTTTTTTTGCATCTGAGCCAAATTAAGGCAACTCCAAGAATTAGAACCGAACATGGAATATCAAACAGCTGAAGGAAACTCTAGGAGGTAGCGTGTGTGACTACTTTCTCTTGGTCGTGTGCTTCTGGACTGCGACACAACGTCTTGCATATTTGGACTAGGGAAAGGCGTAGCACTGAAGAAAATCATGAAGAATGACGACTTTTGTGAGCTTGCCATGGCATTTAGTCAGCCGGCATCATACCTGAAGGAAGCCATTATTCCAACTGGAAAGAAGGCACGTGTATGCCTGTATGGTGATGACTCAATGGAAGATTGCGTAAAGGTATCACCAATCTTGTCTGCCTTAGAAGCAAAGACTTTACAACCAACTTCGGCAGCAGGAAATTTTCTCAGTCTGCGTGTGTACTATCAGATATTAGAATGGAAAGGAATGGCAGACAGCCTGACATCGAGAAACTGAGTTGGCAGGTCATGGATGGGAAGTCTCTTTATAAAAACTGATAAAACACCACCATCCGCATAACACCTTACGGTCATCAGATGTGGATGCAAGAAAGATTGTGCAGCCAAGAAATGCACGTGCCGGAAGTATATGGCCTCCAATGTTCAACAGCCTGCAGTGATTGTCATGGCACTAGTTGTAGCAACTCACCACCATTATAGGCCTACCAAAGAAGTGGATGATACTACTGATCAGCATGCCACATAAATGTTTGTTTGTTGGAGACTACCAACTCTAATCAAATTAAAATATGTATACTTAACTGTAGGCCTGCATGACCTGCATCCTGTAATAACAACTGCACTGGGATTGTAAACCAACATAGACATAGCTGCTCTGAAATGCATTGTAAGGTGAGAATCAACACAAAATGTATTAACCCACTTTTAAAAGAAATGTATGTGTACATATGCAAATTAAAAAACCTGATTATGACACATTTGACATATAAATATATTTGTACAAGTGTTGTCGCAATTAGTCTGAATGTAACATAAGACAAAAAATATCATTAAAATAAATTCTCTACAAAAATGTTTAATTTGCAGCCATTTTAAATTTTAAGCAAATTGAAAAAATAATAATAATAATATTTAATTTTTATATAGCGCTTAATACAAATGTCTCTAAGCGCTTTACAAATATACTTGTTATGTTCTTATAAAAGACCAGTTGGAGAGCTTTGATTGAACTAATAAGTTGTATAGCTTTATTGAGGCTCTATGTCAGTCAGACACCTTTGTAGTATCTCCTGTACAAGTACTCAGGTTTCATAACATGACCTGGCATGAGTCATGGGTTGCAGGTCATTCTATATTTAGTTATACATGCTAGTCTGTATTTGCAGACTCTGTTAAACTACATGTAGCTATCACTACACCTCCCTTCTTTAAAAGAGATTTACATATACATATATAAAACTTCTTAAAATGTACAGAGTGACAGGGTGGACTATCTGTACACTCTCGACTGTACTAGGGCATTATTCTGTCCCTTAAAGCTGGAGTACTGTCGCTTTCATAATAACTTATTACGCGACAGTCCATATCTTTCAAGGTTGCAATTCGCGAAACTGGGATTCTCCGTTGAGGTTGAGTGATATCTGTTGATTTTTGTAATCAAAGTGACTAATTAAATCCGGTTATACTTTTAAACTATAACATGCAAATATATATGTCATGCTCATGCAATCCTGCAGTTATGTTTTAAAGTCCAAGTTGAACTCTGTAACTAAAAACTATTTACAAAACGCGAAAGTCTTTCTCTGTAGTTCGCTTTCATTTATTTACAAGTTCAAGCGATCTGGCGGTTTAATAACTCGTCCGCTTCTGGTTCTGGTTGATGACGTAGTTCAGCTTTCTTCAGATGCTGTTTGCTCTGTAGCTTCTGCAGTGTCATCTAGCTCGAAGTCATCATGTGTTGGTAGTGGAATAGACTCGGCTTGTTGTTGACGTGGGACTGGCCTGAGGTGACGTCTGTTCCTGCGACGTATCTCTCCTGTTTCTGTCTCGATCTGGTATGATCTGTTTCGATCCTGGGCAGACCTGACAATACCACGTTTCGACCAGGTGTTGGTTTTCATGTCTTGGAGTATGACATGATCTCCAGGCTTTAGCTTTGACAAGTCTCGAGCATGTTTGTCGAATCGCTCTTTTTGCTTCACCTTATGATCCTCCTTTCTTCCCCTCACTGATCGAGTATTGACCTGTTGGTTGTCAAGTAAACTGTCAAGCATGGGGAGATTCGATCGAAGTCGACGATTGTAGAGGAGTTCTGCCGGAGACTTTCCGCATGATAGTGGTGAACTGCGATAGACTTGTAGAGCTCTGTGGATATCCTGTCAACTGTGCTGTGACTTCAATATAAGTTTTTTTTACAATCTTCACAGCATTCTCTGCGAGGCCATTGGATTGCGGATAATATGGACTCGATGTAGTATGGTGAAAAGCCCATTCTTTTGCAAAGCTCTGGAACTCTTGGCTTGCAAATTGAGGACCATTATCCGACATCAGTTCACATGGCGTTCCATGGCGAGCAAATACTGCTTTCATGTGGTTGATCACGGCCTTGCTACTAGTAGAAGTCATAGTACATACTTCAAAGAACTGTGAATAGTAGTCAACGATGACCATGTACTCTCTATTGTTCAGCGTGAACAAATCAACAGCAACTTTTTCCCACGGGCGGTTCGGCACGTCATGAGGATGTAGACTTTCAGCTTGCTGTTTTGGTCTGTACATTAGGCATGAAGTACAACTTTGGACCATTTCAGTGATGTCTGTGTTGATTCTGGGCCAATAGATGACTTCTCTAGCACGTTTCTTACACTTCTCGATGCCTAAGTGTCCTTCGTGGATTTTGTTTAGCATGAACCTTCTCATCGTAGTGGGAACCACTATTTTGCTGCCTTTGAAGATGATGCCATCTGCTTCAGAGAGTTCACTCCTGATGTTCCAGTATTCCCTGACTCGAACTGGACATGATTGCTGCTTCGTTTCCGGCCAACCATCTCTGATGATGCCTAGCAGCTCTTGCAGTTGATCATCTTTCTTTGTCTCTTCGACAATCTGATTTCGTTTGTTCGATGTAACTGGCATGCTCTTGACAATAGCATCTACGTAGACTCTGATATCTTCCTCAGTTTCAGCATTCAACTGAGCATTTGGATCTACTGCTCTGGACAATGTATCAGCAGTATACATGTACTTTCCAGGCGTGTACGAGACCTTGAGATCATATCTCTGTACCCTGATGAGTAACCTTTGAATGCGTAGGGGACAGTCACCCAGTGACTTTACAAACAGTGGAATAAGTGGCTTGTGATCAGTCTCCACTTCTACTTGTTGTCCATAGATTTATTGATGGAATCTTTCACATGCGTATGTAATTGCCAGCAATTCTTTCTCGATCTGTGCATATCTAGTCTCTGCATCAGTCATTGATCTAGATGCATATGCGATCGGAACCCAATCTTGATCATATTGCTGTAGTAGCACTGCACCATTACCATCCTTTGATGCGTCTGCTGACAGCTTGGTTGGTTTCTTGCAGTCATAGAAATATAGGACTGGCTCTTGTATTAGAGCTTGTTTCAGCTGATTCCATGCATCCTCTTGTGCATGATCCCATGTCCATACATTCTTTTTGTCTAGTAGATGTCTCAGCGCTGCTGACTTGGTCGACAGATCTGGAATGAACTTCCCTTGGTAATTCATCATACCCAAGAACCGTTGGACATCTTTCCGACATTTCGGTCTCTCAATGTTCAAGATAGCAGACACTTTCTTTGGAGCAGGTTGAACTACTTGATCACTGATCAAGTCACCAATGAATGTGAGCTTCTTGACATTGAACTCGCATGTGTCTTTGTTCAACTTGAGATTCATTTTTCTCACAATGCTGAGAACCTCTCTCAACCTGTCATCATGCTCCTGTTGGGTAGTTCCCCATACAATCACATCATCCATCATTGTGTTAACTCCCGGAATGTGTGCAAACAATTGGTGCACTATCCTGTGATAGACTTCCGGAGCACTACAAATACCAAAAGGTAGTCTCAGGAACTTGTACCTTCCGTATGGCGTGATAAACGTACACAGTTTGGAGCTTTCGTCATCTAGTTGGATCTGCCAAAAACCACTAGATGCATCTAACTTGCTGAAGTATTTGGCTCCTGCAGAATGTGCAGTTATTTCAGCTCTTGATGGCAATTGATAGTGTTCTCTTTTGATTGCTCGGTTCAGGTCCCTTGTATCTAGACAGACCCTGAGCTGACCATTCTTTTTCATCACCACCACGAGAGAAGAAACCCAATCAGTTGGCTCATCAACTCGTGTGATTACGTCCATTCGTTCCATCTTATCTAACTCGTCTTTGAGTTTATCTTGAAGTGGAAATGGAACTTTGCGACATACATGCTGAACAGGATGTGCGTCCTCTCTCAATGTGATGTGATGTTTACCAGGAAGACAACCTAGACCTACAAACACATCTTGATAGTCTTGAACTACACTTTTACCCGTTACGTGTTCAGTTTGTTTCTCAACATGATACACCCGTTTCACCAGATACAAGTCTTCACTCGTCCGTAATCCTAACAAAGGCTGACGATTTCCAGGCATGACTAGACACGGCACATTGCGTTTGATCCCTTTGTACTCAACTTGTACACAACAACGACCTTTGACCGGGATATCTGTCTCATAATAACCTGTCAACATCACTTTGGCTTTTTGTAGCTTTGGTTTTGGTTTCAATTTGTGAAATACTGTCTCAGGAAGAAGATTCGCCTGAGCACCAGTATCAACATTGAAGTCAACCGGCTGTTTATTGACTAGTAGATTAACTATCCATTCATCCTTGGATTCTTTTGATTCAAAAGAGCAAATCATGAAACCTTCTGAATCTACCTCCAAGTGCTGCAGTTCATTGACCTTGGCTACTGGGGTTTTACAACATTTAGCAAAATGATTTTGCTTACTGCACTTCTTGCATGTTTGACCTTGTGCGGGACATTTGTCTTTGCTATGTCGGTTTCCGCACCTGCTACATGCATCACTTTTAGTACGACCTTGAGGTTCTGACCGTTTTGACTTTGAACCAGAAAATTTCTTCTTAGTCTTGCTGAATCTACCGGAATTGAGGCGTTTTCCCCTGCGGAACTGAACGCTTGTGCCTGCGCTCGAGTTTGTTCAGCCGCACGACATACTTGCAACGTTTTAACCAATGTAAGATCATCTTGCCTCAACAAACGTTCTCTTAGACCATCGTCTAAAATACCACAGATAATTCTGTCCTGGATAAGACTCTCTTTCAACATGGATAACTCACATGACTGAGCACGACTCCGCAATTCTGTTGCGTACTGATCAACAGTGTCATGCACTAACTGAGATCTTGTGAAATATCTATGTCTCTCATACGTTAGATTACATTTCGGCATGCACTATTCCTCATATTTTTTCAACACTTTCTCAAGCTTCATATGCTCTCACCCTCAGCAAATACAAACGTATTATACAATTCCAAGGCAGCATCGCCAATCACGTGTAGAAGCATTGATGTTTGTAAATTTTCATCTTTTTCAGACATTCCTGAGGCAACATTGTATAGAGTGAATTTCTGTTTAAATCTTCTCCAGTTCTCGGAAATATTTCCCTTTAAGTCGAGTGGAGGAGGTTGACTGAGATTTGCCATTTTGTTTCTTTTTGTTTCTTAGCCTAGTGTAGTCACTCACATGAACAGCATAACAATTAGCTTTTTCTTTTTGTAATCTTTGCAACAATTACTTTAAGCTCAACTATTAACTTTCACTGGGTTATTCTGTATGTTCATGTCCCATATATGTCACGCTTACTGCCCGTTATACTGGAACTGGCCCGGCACAGAACTATGCACTCCAATCCATACAACGACAGCGCTAACTATTATGGACATAACTACATTCACTGGACATACACTTAGAGTCTAAGCCCTCTCATCATCTCTCACATCACAAAGAATTGGATTGAACTGGCCTGATTTCAATGATTCCTCCATACATATACTGTAGGCTGGGTTGCTCAGCACAAACACTGGCTGCCAAGTTCTGACACCATGTTATGTTTTTATAAAAGACCAGTTGGAGAGCTTCGATTGAACTAATAAGTTGTATAGCTTTATTGAGGCTCTATGTCAGTCAGACATCTTTGTAGTATCTCCTGTACAAGTACTCATTGTTTCATAACATGACCTGGCATGAGTCATGAGTTGCAGGTCATTCTATATTTAGTTATACATGCTAGTCTGTATTTGCAGACTCTGTTAAACTACATTTAGCTATCACTACATACTATTACCCCAACCGGGCATATGAAACCTTATGCAAACAAAAAAAATTCTTGGAAATAACATTTTAGACATTCAAAGTACACTAAAAGTGTGCTAAAAGATATGTATGGTGAATATTTTGACCAAATTTAGGAGAAAACCCTAGAATTGGCGGCCATTTCGGATTCATGGAAATTAGACACTACACGGATAATGTAAGGTACAGGCTGTACCCCTATAAAATAACCCTATAACAGCTCTTGTGTTTGTACGAATACTCATAAGGGCCGGTTTTTCGGAACTGATATTTTTGTTTTAGTTTTTTCAATATAAAATGATATGATATTATTTTGTCTAGTGCATGATGAAATAACATCATCTGCTAAGGTAATACATTACATGTTGGATTGTGTGGGTGTGGGTGAGCGGGGGATTTGTTTCAGGTGTGTGATGTACCTGTAGTATATGGGTATTTTAGTTGATACAAAATGTACAGCAGATCACTTTTCCTACTCCTTTAGTGCCACAACAGCCTATACAAGTTGACAAATATGACAAAACCTATGTGAAAATCCTCGAAATAGCGGCCATATTGGATTTTTGCAAATTAGGGACACTTCCACTACTTGGATTTTTCTGGACTTTTAGTATGTCATTTTGGGGACCTTACTGAAATGCATTGCAGTGAAAAATATTTTATTGCAATTTGTTTGACCTCAAAACACAATATTCCTAGCCTATATACGCTTATCTTCCTGGTGAAAATTTGCTGGAAAATCTGCGTCCAATATTCATGTCTGCGTGTCCCTTCAGGGCCATTGAGTACAGAAAAACGAAAAAATAACAAGGCAAAGGTATACGTCAAATTTGTGGATTTTCACGTCTTTGACGTAAAAATCCACAAATTTGTTGCATAGGTATACGTCAAATGTTGCGTTTGCGTGTCCCTTAGGAGCCACCATAACAGATAGATTATTTGGTCTATATTCTTTATATTGGTAGATAAATGAAGAAAATCCATAGAGAAACATTGATGCAATCGTAATTTTCATGTACCAATGTTTTTCTGCTTATTGTCCGTTTTTACCGTACATAGCTTGCATACGACTTGTGTAAATATGTGCAAATTCGCGAGCGCTGCGGACTGACTGTTAGCTGTTGCCACATTCCAACTTGTCAAAATATAAATAAATGAGAGGAGCACAAATAAATATATTCTTACCTCTAGCACAAATCCAGCAAGTATAAGGCTCCTGATTAGTGTATAAATCCACATCATGGTAGCGAAAAATAGACAGGTGTTGCAAGCTTTGACGGTTATGATCTCCAGAAAGAATGCAAAAGTACCTAATCGACTTGGGTTTTCCTTTTGCAATGGAGTAATACTGCAAGAGGTGCATGCCATGCCGTCGGATATAGCGCTGAATTGACATTTTTACCGAAATCGAGTTGTTTTGCACAGGCGCGGATCCAGGATTTCTCAGGGGAGGGGGCCCAATTTTTTTCTTTTTGCTTCTGAAAATTTGAAAATTGCGCCGGCCGAAAAGTCGCTCAGTGGGGGGGGGGGGGGGGGGGGGGGATAGTGAGCACATTTTTTTTTTAATTTGCACCCCCTAAAAATCACGTGTTTTTACATGGTTTTTTTTCTCAAGGGGGGGGGGCGGGCCCCCGCCCCCCCCCCTGGATCCGCCACTGGTTTTGCATATCATGCTAATTTGCATAATCATGAATATTTACTAGCAAAAAAGCCAATCACAAAACCTGTCTCATGAAAATGCCTCTGTGTAGAAAATGAATAGGAAAAAGGTGTGTCAGATTAAAGTGTGTCAGGTAGGTCAGAAAGAAGTGGTACAGTAAATGGAAACACCCCTGGGTTTGTTTCTACGAGCTGACT